GTAGATCTCATGTTTCCGTGACATGAAATAAATATTTCATTGGACTCTAATTATAAAATGGAAATCACTAAAATATTAAGATGTTATAGGTAATATTCTTGCATTAAAATACATAATGTATAAAAATGACTGGATGATGGCAGCATAAAATAATGTGGGGGTCAAAATGGAATGCTTTATACCCTGAAATACAAGTTGCAACTTTATATAAGTCATCAGTATAATCCTTATTACAAATAAATGTCAAGTCAAGATGCCTTATTTAAACTCTATCATAAGGCCTCCCTGCTGGCACATGGGGTTAAGACTCAGCACCATCAAGCTATCACCAGCTACTGCACTGCAGCATGAGTTCAATTCCCCACCAGGGAGCTAACCCACATGGTGCAGCAGGCCTCTACTGTCTCACCTGCTGCTCCCCTCAGCAGCATATTTCAGTGGATCTGCCTGTTCTGCTCCCCACTCTGTCTCTGGTGAATCCTCTCACCTCTCCCCCACCTCCCCCAACACCTCTGGTCTTAACCCCAGCTCTGGTATGTATAAATAAATCTTGAAAAAAAAAAATAAACTCTATTATAGACAAATATTTTACATGATAAGAGAGCTGAAGAAATGGTCAATTGTAATTCTTTTGTCTCATCACTTCTGTGCTTCATTATAATGTTTTACCACAACAAAGAGGGACCTGTAGGTCCTCAGCCAACTACCTACTCCATTTTATTGATTCTAAGGTGCACATTATTTCCCTCAATTCAACAAGTCTTAAGTCAGGAGGAGGCTTACAACCACATTTTTTTCATTAGTAGTACAACAGTACTTTGCAAATCATCTTAGAGGCAGCAAAACATTGTATCTGGTTCTTTGGAGCCCTAACTGCCACACAGCCCATAGGATGGGTAGCGCCATTACTGGTGGGTTTTTAAAAATCAAATTGCTGAGCACAAAATTCCTAGAGGAGGAATGAAACTCCTCAACTCTCCAGGTGACTTATTCATAGTTCTGAGAACTTTTATCTATAGTACACCAATTCAAACTTAGAGAGAAGATGTGGGGTGGGGAGAAGAGAGGCAGGTCTAGGTTGAAAAAGTCTGAAAGTAAAATTCGTATGACAAGAATTTTCATCCTTTCCTTAACAATGGATAGACATCAGTCAGACCTGTGGGCGAGATTTCCTGGGGGACAGCTGGAGGGTTCATCAAATGGTGCATCAAACTAGACAAGAACAGAGAGAACTCCAGTTTGCAATGGTTACAGAGTGTTAGATTAAAAATTACCCAAATGCTTCTATGCAGCTTTTCCTCATCTACCAGAGTAGAATTTTGTTTGAAAAGTCATAATCCAGTTAAAGGAATAAAATGGTCATTAGATTTCTGTAATCGGGAGCATCAACAAATCAAAATAAGAATTCTTAGTCTGCCCTGCTCCTTCAGTCCTGCAATTGCTGATTGAACAAAAGTAATTTAAACCAACTTAATCCTACACTACATCATCCAGGAGATAGAAAAGATGGATGGATGGATGGATAGAAGGAAAGATATCATTGAGAACAGTAAAATAAAACTAAATACATTTTAACTGGAAGATGAACATGAGTAGGATAAATAAGTGTTTGTTCACAATTGCCACAAAGAGTAAAGAAAGACACACATTTACATACATCTCATCTATTCTATACATATCAGATGAAAAGTTAAGTCTCCTGTTTTGAATGAATTCTTAGTCACTCCCCTACACAGTCACTCCCCTAATACTGTGTGAAGTAGTCTGCAGAAATTAATAGAACAGGGCAGACATTATTCTACCAGTAAAGCCTCTGTGTGACGAAATGGAGGAGCTGAGAGGTTCTGTCTGCCCAAGCATCTAGCCAGCACATTTCCACCACAAAAAAACTGGACATGATCTAGTACTCACTGGAAAAGAACAGATTGTAGAACGCTTCTAGTGTATAATTTTCGAACCAATTAAAATTCACTTTTTTGACCACACCCCCTTCAAATCACATTTAAGGATCACTTAACTGTAGATGATAAATGGTACCAATATTCAGGTAGATAACTGATACCACAGTGCTACTTTAACAAGCCTTGTGGAGCTTACCATGAAAATCAATTCAGGAACTGATGCATTGCTATAGATGTCCCTATAACTTCTACTAGTACCTAGAAACTGACCAGGGTCCATCAGTAGATGATTGACTCAAGCACTTGGAAATAGCCATACACAGAATATTATTCAGCCATAACAAAGGAGCACTGATATATGCTACAACATGAACAAATCTCAAAAACATGCCAAGTGAAAGAAACTGACACAAATGAACACATACTGTATGGCTCCATTTAAATGAAATATCCAGAATAGGTAAATCCACAGAGATGAAAAGGAGACATGGGGTTACTAAGGGTTGGAGGGGCAGGGGAAGTATTGTAACTGCTTAATGGGTGAGATTTTCTTTTGGGAGAATGAAATGAACTAAAAAGAGGTGACTGCATTGTGAATCCACTCAATGTCATTGAACTGTATACTTTAAAATGGTAAATTTTGTTTTATGAATTAAATTTAATTTTTAAAAAGTTGAAAACATTCACTAGAGAGAAACTAGGGTCATAAAGAGCAGAAAAAAATTAGATTAGAAATAAGGAAAATATAAGGATAGTTTCAATCCAATGGATCAGACCAGTGAAAAAGAGAATGAAAGAATACTGATGGAGTTAACTGGAAATCTAAGAGAGAGCAGAACATAATTTCATCTTCTGAAAGAAGAATTAGCTAATTGAATTTTAAAAGCTGAATTAAAAAATAAATTTTTAAAAGCCATTTAAAGTTTAAAAATCTCATTACATAATAGTAAGACATCTGGTCAATGCAATCTATGAAGTACCTAAATGCAGAACCACTGTTTAAAATCCAGATTATATGACCCCAAGGAGAGGAACCTTCTAAGTTCAAGACAAGTTTTTTATTACTGAACTAAGCATTAGATTTTTGCAAAACCTAGTTGCAAAATCTTTTGCTTTTGGGGTCTTCTGCCTTTCAGCTTTAAGCAAAGGAAGAAAAAAAAAAAAAAAAAGACTTGCCTCAGAGAAAGGAAAGTAGCTTTGTGAGCACATAGGCTTTTATTCATAGTATCAATAAAACCTATAATTACTAGTTTAAGCACTTTCATACTTTTAAATATAAAAAATTTTGAACACTGAGGCCATTTAAGATATAAAATATGTGGTAAAAAATCAGACTCCTGTGATCCCTCCACTTTTTGCCATTCAGCAATCTCTGTCCCTCGACCCATTTGCCCTTTGCCTTAAGTTACCATCATTAATTATGAAAAGATTAGTTAGCAATGGTTAAGTTAGTGATGAAATCGAAACTCTGTAATAAAACATCCATTAAGCTTATTCTGAAAAGTGGTGCTGGGCATTATTATAACTTCTATTTGAAGCCGAAGTCCCTACAATGGGGATCTTGGAATTACTTGATCTGTGTTCCTTTTTAAAAAGTTCTCAGAGGTCCCCAGGTTGAGAACCACTGCACTCAGCTTTTTATCATTTCTTACTATCAAGAAATACTACTCTTTAGTGAGCTGAAAAAACATTAAAGAGAATTGGTGAGAATTTACACCGGTATAAAATTGCGAATAATGACTTAATTAGTAAATGAAAAATCAAGAGACTGGCAGCCTGTGGAAAGAGGTAATGATATAACCAAAACCCATAGATTCTGACAATTTTCGTTGAAAGGAGTAATTTCTGGCCTTTTTTTTTTTTTTTTTTTTTTTAGTTAAATGGAGATCTTTGTAATCCCAATGCACTATGAGATACAAGGAGGTTCCCCAAAACATATCCATGTGACCATATCACTAGCCCTGGCAGGTGTCCAAGATATCTGGGATCTAGATCAGCACCAACCTCCACGTGATCCCTAAAAAAATTCACACTTTCACCTGTAAAATTAGGAAAGAAGAGATAAAAGGGTCCACCCACTCTTTGGATTCTAAGAAACAAATGTGCACATGAAAGCACTTGGCAGTGTTTAGTAAGCATCTAATATCATCTTAGTATCGCTGTATTTATGGATTTACAATAAATTCTCAAGCGCTTCTGTCAATTAGTTCTGCATCATGCGAAATTTAACTTTCAAAAGGGGGTACAATAGGATGAAAACACGAAAAACATCACAGCTGGAGATCTCGATCCCTACTATCAGGCACCTTATTAAGATCCAGGGTCCCTGATCCTCACACACGGTGGAGAAATTTGAGGCCAGTCGCAAACAAATAGGAAAAACGAAAGAGAGAGAGAGAGAGAGAGAGAGAGAGAGAGAGAGAGAGAGAGAGAGAACGGCACACGCCACCACACACCAAACACCCACGAGCTGACAAACGCTAAAAATAAAAAGTACGTCCAGTGTAGGAGCCCCGAAAACTTCTCCAGTGCGCCAAGACCGACGCCCCCGACACCCTCCACGCCACCCCCAGCTCCATCCCCGCCTCCTCGGGGCGCTCAGCCCCGTCTCCGGCCGCGCGCGGGAGCCCCCGCGCGGCCGGCGCGCCCCAGGTACCCGCGGGCGCCGCGCCCCAGCGCCAGGTGCAGGCGCCGCCCCGCCCCCCGCGGGGCCCGGGCCGGGGGGCGCCGGCCGAGGGGTCCCCGCGCCCCACAGCCGCCCCGCGCCCCGACGCCCAGTCCCGCCCGCGCCCTCCCCGCGGCGAGACGCGCCACGACGCCCCGGGCGCGCCCGGGACCCGCCCCCGGCCGGCAGCGGCCCGGAGAGCGGAGGATGAAAGGGAGGGGGGCCCGGCACCCCCCCCCGGCCCAGCCGCCCCCCATCCCGCCCCACTCCCGGCCGCGGCTCCGCGCGCCCCGCGGTCCGGCTCACCGGCCTCCCGCCCGCCTCTCCGCCGCGCGCGCCCGCGCTCAGTCCCGCCGGCGGCCGACGGGAGCCACCGCCGCCCGCCGCTCGCCGCTCGCCGCTCGCTTCCTCCCGCCCGCGCGGCCGCCCCTCACCCGCGACTGGCCCGGAGGAAGCCAGCTCGCCGCCGGGCCGCCTCCCCGCGTCCCCGCCGCGACCAATGGGCCCCCGCCGCCGGGGAGCCGCGCCCGCCCCCTGGCGGTGGAGGACCGAGCGGGCGCCCCTGCCGGCCCCGGAGACCCGGCGCGGAGGAGGGAGGGGTCTGCGGGCCCCCCCGTCGCCCCCCGCGCGCCCCGCCCCGCGCAACCTGGGCTTGCCACGTGGGAGCCCCTGGGGCGGCGGCCGGCGCCGGGTGGCAGCCCGGGAGGGGGGCGCCTGTGTGCCCCGACGCTCGCAGGCCTTCATCACCCCAGCCCTAAAGGCAGAAATTTTAAAATAACCAGTCCCATTGTGGGGATCCCCCCCCGGCCCCCCGGGAAGAAGCGGTCTAGGACCTTAGGTAATGCCCTTTGACTTAAGAGGCAGCAAATCGATTCTGAAAATACTGCCAATCCCCGGCACAAACCTTACATGTTTGATGCGAGCAGAAAAGTTCTGTATGTGTTTTGTATGTCATTTTTAAGAAATTATTTAGGAACCTCATCTTTTGAAGTGTTTTTTTTTCCCTCACCTCTAAGACGTTTTTACTGTGAGTGTTGATAGCAAAACAACGCTAGTCAGCACGAGTCTTATTATACAAAATTTGAGAACATAGAATTGTTTCATAACTCCATATTTCGTAATAATCAGAAGCTAGTAACTTCTTACCCATTAGGAAATATATTGGGACAATGCATGTTATAGAAGTTAAAATTGCATTAAAGAATAGGGTTTGACCGTAGTAAGTATTCTATCCAGACTTAATTTTCTTTCAAAAATGTAAAACACGGAAGCTTAATGATGCTGAGGTCTGTGTTCCATCATAGAGGAGGCAGCAAGAACATTCTAAGAGTCTTCTGGGTGCCACTTTATTGGGCCTTTGATGAGACTTTGGGGATGTGTTCTTATTTAATTCTTACAACTCAAAGGAAGTAGATGTTTCTGTATACTACCCTAACACATCAAAAATCCAAGACTCAAAAACCGAGTTTAAATAACTTGCTCAAATACACAATATAATGAGTTGTGAAGTTGAAATTCCAACCTGTCCATTGAGACCAACAGGAAGGTACTGTTTCTTATGGCACCAGCACACACACACTTGTTCCACTGAAAGATTTCTGAAGTCTCTTCAGTGGAAAGCTCAGGTCACATGTGTGAAAGAACTGCTTATTCCATAACCATACTGGCTTATGTGAAAATGATCTGGGCCTTATTCTTCTAGGACCATATTGAAATATTTCCTAGGTCAGAGGTATGTTTAAAGCCTATTTCCCCATGACCGTAATATATGATTTCCACGCCTCATTTGGTAATGAAATTAGTAATAATGGATTGCCACCACCATTTTGCTGGTGGTGATTCACTAAAATAGAACATAAAACTCAGAGTTCATAGCACAACTCGAGGATGAGTATTGTTTCATGAAATATTTGTGCAATAGAAGGTGTGGGTCAGTGTGTGTATATCTAGTAAATTACATTCCTTAACATAGACTGTAATGTTTCAGTTTGTAAATCATTTCTTTACAGTTCCTTGGTTCATCTGTTTTTTTGTTCTTTTCTACTTGTGAAAAAATAAAAAATTTCCTGCATTTTCACTTGGCAGAGGTAGGGAAGGCAGGGGAGGTAATAAAGAGTTAATTGTTAAATTTATTAAGACAACAGAGAATTTTGCAACTCCAAGTTTAATATCAATAGGTGTTGCTATGTTACACAATATTAGGTAATGATGATTTATATTTTTAAAGCCAATACTTATTGTATACTTTGTATGCCAAGCTCGTTCCCTAGCACTTTAGATATTCTGACTCATTTAATCCTCATAATAATCCTATAAATATAGAGAAGGAAAGTACAAGACTGAAAGAAAAAGTTGCCCAAGGTCCTGTTAGTAACCTAGCAGAAGTAAGATTCAAACCCACAGGCCCACCCTCAGAGCCTGCCCTCTGTGTGAACATGAAAAGAAATTCCTACTCTCTGCAATGGGTGTAGGGTTTTACTTCAAACCATCACTTATGCTATACTATTCCCCACACAACAATTATATAATATTGTGTAATATAATCTTCATGAAAAGCTTCACAATTTTTATTGGACAATTCTTATGCAGAATATTCCATTTGACATTAGTTGTCTGTATATGGAGTAGCAGACTGCCTGCAAACAGGACTACCAATAACTTCTCCCATTCCTGTCAATTGCTGCCACCTTTTCCACTCAAAGGTAGCATATGTCTTCCCTCCTCTTGAATCCAAGCTGACATTGGGAATTGTTTAGACTCATCAAATGCCATGCATGTGTGACTTGTAGAACTATTACAAGGCAGGGAGAGGGGCACCCCAAAACTCTCAAAACTGACTGCGCTAAAGAGGTACTGCCATCTGCCACATGAAGACAAAACATATTCTAGTGCATAAGACCTTTAATAGAAAGGAATTTTAATATAATGAGTGTGCAGCAGAGATAAGAACAAGAATAAAGTTTCCAAATGAAGCATCCAAAGTTACTCATCCCTTGTGGGTAAATGCCCAGCCAAACGGGGTTGGTCCAAAGCAGGGCCACTGAGGCCAAAGCTAAGGCACCCCCCGCTAGGGACCCATAGGAAAGGGAGTCTAGCATGTCCAGGACAGAAAGAGCAAAATCAGAATCAAAATAAAAGCTGCCATTGTTAACCTCCCCTCAGGTCTCTCACTCACATCTGTTTCAACCAGTCCAGGACCAAAAAGCAATTGCAATTTCTTCCCATGTCTCTCTGCTCCATGTGCTCCTTCCAGGTCTCCTTCTTGCTCCCCATCTTTCTTCATTCTTTCCCCAGTCTCCACTTCAGCTTCTCTTACTCCATGCTCGGTTCTAGGAAACCTAGAACTTCCCCTTTCCCTAGGGCGACCCGCTATTTTGGGATCCAGTTGTCAGAGGAGGAAACTCAGACTAGGCTGCTGGACAAGGAGAAGTGACCTGGAGAAAGAAAGAGGATCAAACCAGCCCATCAACCCCCACCCCGGAGGTCCCAGACTTGTGAGTGAATTCATCTGACACATTCCATTCCTGACTGAGCTCCTAGCTGAAGGCAGCACATGAGTGACCCGGGACAATGGCACATAAGAACTGCTGGTGAGGGCCAGCCTGGCGACAGTGCTGAGAAAAAGTTGCTTGTTTGTCTGTTCTTTAAGTTGCTAAGTTTTGTGGTAGTGTTTTACACAATTTTTATAATAGCAATTGATAACTGAAACATGAAGTACAAGATTTGTAAAATTCATAAAACAAACAAACAAAAAAAACCCACCAGTTCTGGGAGTAGGATTACTCTTAAATATGAAAGTCTTGTTTATGCTTTTATTGGGTTAGAAAGTCAAACCTGTAGAGAGAATGTCAGATCTGCTCTAGCTATTAAAGGATAGCAGTATTTAAAAAAAAAAAAAAAAAAATCAGAGGCCGGACCTCCCTGTGGCACAAGGGGTTAAGTCTCAGCACTATGAAACTATATGCAGCCTCTGCAGCATGAGTTCAATTCCTGGTCAGAGAGGTGACCCACATGGCACAGCAGACCTCTCCTGTCTTGCCCACTGCTCCCCTCAGCAGTGTATTTCAGTGGATCCACATGTTCTGTTCCCTACTCTGTCTCTGGTGAATCCTCTCACCCCCTGCACCTCTGGCCTGTACCTCAGCTCTTGTGTACATAAAAAAAAAAAAAAAAAAAACTTAAAAAAAATCAGAGGCAGAGTAAAAAAACAAGAGTAAAAATGTCAAATGTACGTACGCCCCATGCTGCATACACTACCACACCCAGGTACAGTTTACAAACTATTCACAGAATGTGCATTCAGAGCTCTTGAATGTCATCCAGCTTGTGGCACTCATTTTACTTCTCTCAGACCAACAAATCCTTTCCTGTTAACCCAGGTCAGTCATCCTTTGAAGCAAGTTGAACCCAGGTGAGTATGTCAGCTCCAAATTTCCTAACTTCTCTTTTCACAGCCAGTGTTGGCCTAGTAAACCATCTGGATTTTTGCTAAATGTCTTACCCTAAATTCCTCTCCTTTCTGCTCATTCCTGTTTTTGCCAAGGACAGGCCCAACCCCATGGCCACATTCCCAGGTTAACCCCCCTCTTATTGTCCTTTAAATTGGAATTGTAACTTTTATCTTATTTTACCCAAGTTGTTGCATAAAGTATCAATATAATGGATCATCCAGGAAAAACCCAGTGATGACTCAGTTGAATACCTGAACTCAAACTCAATCATGCCATAAAGCTTTTGTGCTAAATGTCCTTAAGACAAGCATATAAAAATATTTGCACCTTAAATAGCAGACTCTGCATAAGGATACCCTGCTGGGCTACGTCAGTGAAGAGAAGGTTGTGGTTATGGAGAAAGACTAGGTCTTTGGAGAGAAAATACTCCAAGTTCCCTTCAATGTTAGCATCCCCAAATCAGTTTTGGATCTAGTTAGGTGTTCTTAATCTTGGGTGGGTGGGGGGCAGTCACCGTGGCTCATTTTAACATGCTCTTTTCATGGTCCCACTATAAACATAACCTTTTTTATATAACTATATGTGTATATTGTTAGCTAGCTAAGCTAGTTTCTAGGAACCTAAAGGAAAAAGAGTATAGTTTAAAAAACTAAAATGCCCACAGATTTCAAGGTACTGTATTTACTATATTTACCATTTTAACATAAATTTTACCACTTTAACCATGTTTAAATGTCATTGCGTTCACATTGTTGGGAACCAGCATGACCATTCATCTTCTAAAGCTTTTCTTCTTAAAAACTGAAACTCTGAGCCCAATAAATATTAATTCCCCATTCCCCTGTCCCTCCAGGTGGTTACAACTACCATTCTACATTGTTTCTGTGATTTTGACTATTTCAGATACATCATATAAACAAAATAGTATAGGTCCAAAAGCTGGAATTTCCATAGACTTCATGACTTTACATTTGATGGTTAAGCAATACAGTTCATACAGAGTAAGTGGTTTGATTTACTATGAAACATGTACTATACTATGAAATCATATCATAATAAATACATCTTTGCATTAAAGGACTTTAGTTTTCTCATCTATAACTACTTTTCTGGCAACATATAAAAAGATTCTAGAGATCATAAAAAATTGGTTTTTTAAATGGTGTATTTTTTTAATTTTACTCCCAAGAAGATTCTGCTTTAGATTAGCTTGTTCAATAGATCTTTCAGTAGGGGAAATTTGGCACTTTTGTCTTGGTAATAAATCGTAAATCGTATTAAATGACATACTCTATATGGTAAACCTCATCTAAAAATATATATTTTAAGAGATAAAAAAGGAAAAAATTAAAAATAAAAAATACATATTAATCAAAACTGATGGAGGACAAGGGTGAAAAAACTGGAAAGGAGGCCTCACAAGACGAAAACCTGAATCACACAAGGAAGTAGGGGTAGAGGGGATTAACGTAAGCCACTAACCCAGTCATAGAAACCAAGACTTTTAGGCATCAACACTCAGATCAGGAGGCGCAACATCCAGAAACTATCAGACTACTATAGGGAGTGTCAGGAGCACAAAGATGAGCCACTTCCTACCAAAGAAGATGATAAAACCTAACGCAGCCCCTACAATGGGGCAGCAATCCCTCTGCCCACCTGTAACTATGCAGGTGCTTCTTTTCAGCCTCTCTCTCCCACTGCAGGGCAGCAGCTTCCTGCCTGCCCATGACCTGTACCATGCCAGAGCTTCTCTTCACTGACCTCCCTCAGTGGAGGCCGCTCTCCTCAAGGTCGCCCACCTGCGACCATGCAGGCCTCTCTCAGCGAACCTGTCCCTTTCGGGGCAGCTCTTGCTGCCCGCTGGTGTCTATGCAAGTGACCTTTATTCTTCTGTCTTTTAAATATAACCTGCCCTTTAAATATAACTAATGTCTCTGTCTCGTGGAGAAACTCGCCTGGAAAATTCACTGCATGCTGCTGAAACAGGAGCTCTGGTGAAACCTTTCCCAGAGTGAACCCAAGGACCCCACACTCCAAACTCCAAGAACCCATCAACAACTATAAAGTAACTTCCCTATCCCTGAAGTTATGTATAGTGTATATTATAAATAATTATTACTATTATTCATCTTATACAACGTAAAATTCATACAAGTTAATATATATAATTCACCTAATCCATATATGCTAAAATATACTTTTTCTGAAGTCTTACATGGCAATGCGACTTGTCTGTAATGCCAAGCAAAGACACAGAACCCATGAATCAGACTAAACATTCATGCACACACACACACACAAGTGCGTACATATAAGCACACCTGGGATATACATAATATACACATGTTCTATAAAGTATTTAAAATATATATTTGTCAGATATTGGGAGAAAAAACTGGTTTATATGAATAAGCCTCACACTAAATCATTTAAAAACACTTCTTTCCACATTTGATTAGGGGTAAAAGCCCAGCAGAAAGCCCTCAGAGAAGAAGAAACTGAACAAAGTGTGCATTTTCTTAAAAGGTAATTGCTTCAGTCTGTGACTTCAGTTCTTTATTAAGAATGGGATATGAGAGCCCTTTAGTCTAAATACAAAGGGATTCACTGTGACTGTGGCACTTTTATTAAACATTAAGATCTCTAGTTACATTAAATTGAAATATATTGTTTTCTCCAAAGGCACAGAGGTAGGACTAGGGGTAACAAAATATCATCCTATTGTTAGTATTGCACTAAGACATCTTCTCTAGTAGATTCATGGTCACTAGAGATAATTCAGCAACACTCTTAGAGGCCAAAATCCCACATGGTTACAATGTGGTTAAGAAATATATAAGTAGCAAATCAAAACCTATCTGCATTGTTGCCACTTTTGTTCTTTTATATAGTTTTATACATTCTCTTAAATTTGTTGAATTTTTCCCTTGGTATCACTGATTTCTATCTCACCTGTCCCAGGAATTAGATGGAAGCATTGGAATGCCAAACAATGCCTTTGGCTTTTATAGGCTTTGTGCTTTGTGAAAGTTTATATGTGCATAATGCCTGTCCTTGACTTATCTGTGACCTAGATAGGGAACTGGAATCAGCCTTGCTATCCAAATTTGTTTCGTTAACTGAATTTTCAATTTTAGGTCAATTTCCACTGAAGTGTCTACACTTTTCCCCAAAAGTATCACATGTGAGCTATTCTGAGATTAAATTTGGAAGGATTTTTATGAGTCCTTATGCTGTTCAAATTTTGCACTCTTATTTTGAAATGTTTCTTGTAAAACCTCTGTGGCCTTGCTGAGGCTGGTACATATTTTTAAGTGTAATTTACTTACAGAGAGAACTTCTCAAATATAACATCTGGTATTTTGTAATTTTATCCAATAGTCAAATTTTCCATTTCTATCCATGAAGCAAAAAGTAGGGAAATTGCTCACTTTACTTTGAAAAAATAAAACACAGGAGTGGGAAATCTAACTTTCAGTTTCTATAGATTCCAAAATAATGTCACCTTCCCAAATTCCTTTCTCATCCATACTTCCAGGATACCCCTTCATGGCTCCATTGTTTTGTAACTCATTTAAAGACATGAGGTGGAGAGCTGAGTTGGATTTGGAATCAAACAGATGAATTTAGATCCTGGATCTAAGTTTCAGTAGCTGCTAAGTGACCTTCAGCAATTTGCTTAACCTGTCCAAGTCAATTTCCTCCCTGTGAATACAAACAATTCTCTCATAGAGTTTTGGTGTGTGTGTGTGTGTACACACACACGTGTGCTTGTGTTATTTTTTAAGTAGTGCAAAATGTTTAGTAAAGTTTTTATTAAGACGTGAAAACGATTTGCCATATATGGTCCCAGGGAATTTTTTTTTTTTTTTAAATATGGAACACTTCACAAATTTGCATGTCATCCTTGCGCAGGGTCCATGCTAATCCTCCCAGAGAATTCTTAAGTCCTCTCACCGACTTCTCCCCAGATCGGCATGCAAAACTTTGGTGCGGTATCTGCTTATCAGTTCAAGCTACTAGTTATTCTGGAATTTTACATGGTCTTAGTTTAGAATTCTGTAAAACTTGAGACTCATTTTTGCAGGGAGTTATTTATTCAGTTCTTTGCTGTACTACCTCTTTTTACACAGTCTGTTCATCAGAGCTGAGACCTCAGGCCTTCTCCCTGCTTGCCACCATCCAGTCCAGCAGAACTGTCACCTTTCCATTAACAGTATTATATTTACAGGGACTGAAACTCATCACAGGTCATTTATTCTATCCCAGGAATCCAGAAGATACAGGGTTTATCATTAATTGTCTATATCTTTTTCTTAAACTAAGCTGGTTACTCTCTCAAATCCTTAATTCCTATGCCAAATCCTCTCATAGTTAATGGAGACAGGATTTTAATTTATTCTTACAAGATCACCATTGTAATTCCATCTCCTTTTGTTTGTTTTTGTTGCTGTTTAGTCATAATTTGCCCCCCTAGGAGCCCCTCATTCTTGGTGGGTCATTTTCCCATTATGAGTTTTAACATATAATTTTATTTCAGAGCTTTCCACTTGCATCTCAGTGCAATTCTTGAGGAAGGGAATGAGGATCCCCACATCAAAAACAGTGTTGGACACAAAAGATTTCTCCAAATATTTATCAAATGAATATTAATTTGTTGCATCTGACTACTTTCAGTATCCTGAAAATTTAAAAATAAATCTCTTTCAAGAGAGTACATAATCCCTGGTAAATACTAATCTCCCACCTATCCTGTAATTTTGTTATTTCAAGAAGATTATAATGAATATATCATATTGTTTGTAATGTTCTTGACTTGACTTTTTCATTAAGCATAATTCCCTTTGAGATTCGTGAAGCTGTTTTCCTCAAGGATAAATGTAGGAGTGAGGCACAAAAAGATGTGAATGTGGTTATAACAGGGCACCCAGAGAGATGGATATGGCATAAAATACCTCTACTTCTACTGTGGTGGTGGATTCATTCTCCCACACAGGTGATCCATTCACAAAAACTACACACGTATGAGTGAATACCATTAAAACTGGGAAAACCTGAATAAAATGAGTGGATTGTCTCTGTCGATATCCTGAACATGACATTGCACTAGGGTTTTACAAGGTATTAACATTTGAGGAAACTGAGCAAAGGGTAGTAAGATCTATCAATATTACTTCTTACAACTGTATGTAAAACTAACATGCTTTCAAAATACAAGGTTTAAGAATGCACACCAGGAATTTTTTTACTATTAGAGTAAAACAGCATTCTTAAAAATCATACAATTTGAGGGCCTCCCCTGGTGGCAGAGCGGTTGAGCGCTGGGCTGCGAAGCTGCCCGCAGCCTCTGCAGTGCCAGTTTGATCCCCGGCCACTGGCAAGGGTCCCACATGGCATGCAGACCTCTCCTGCCAAGCCCGCTGCTCCCCTCAGCAGTGTATTTCGTCGGTCTGCCTGTTCTGTTCCCCGCTCTGGCTCTGGTGAATTCTCTCACCTTCCCGTGCTTCTGACTGTACCCAGTGTTTGTATAAATAAATAATCTTTTTTTTTTTTTTTAAAAAGAATCATGCAATTTGAGTGGCAGTTTTTGAAGGAACTTAGGGAATTTTGCACCTGCCGTTTTAAAGAATTCATAGAGTACGTGTTATGTAAGGAGCCTGGGGTCATTCTCTTTAGTGTCTGAGATAAAAAATGATTGTTATAGAAAGACAGGTAGAGATGAAATGCTGACCAGCAGCCAGAGGAATTGATGGATATACTGATTTCTTAGGGCTGCCCATAACGAATTAACGCAACGTAGGTAGCTTGAGCAACAGAAATTTCTTTCTCTCACAGTTCTGGAGGCTAGAATTCTGAAATTAAGGAGCCAGTCAGGCTATGCTCCCTCTGGACATTCTAGAAGAGAATCTTTCCTTACCAGTCCCAGCTCCTGGGGGCAGCAGACAGCCCTTAGCTTGTGGAAGACACTGTGTGCCTTCACCTGTCCTTCTCTCTGTATCTTTTTCTGTGTCTTATAAGAACATTTATCATTGGATTTAGGACCCACCAGGTAATTCAGCATGATCTCATCTCAAGCCCTTAAATTACATCTACCAAAACCTCTTCCCAAATAAGGTCATCTCTAATGAGTGCCAGGGGTTAGGACATGGACCTATTTTTTTGGGGGGGGAGCAATATTTAGTTCGTCCACTCATTCTTTCAAGAAATATTTCTTGTACTCCTAAGAGGAACAGAATAACACACTAGGAGGGCCTCCCCTGGTGGCGCAGTGGTTGAGCGCTGGGCTGCAAAGCTGCCCACAGCCTCTGCAGTGCCGGTTCAATCCCCAGAGGGTCCCACATGGTACCACAGACCTCTCCTGTCTCGCCCACTGTTCCCCTCAGCAGTGTATTTCATTGGTCTTCCTGTTCCGTTCCCTGCTCTGGCTCTGGTGAATTCTCTCACCCTCCCGTGTTTCTGACTGTACCCAGTGCTTGTATAAATAAATAAATAAATCTTAAAAAAAAAATATATCACACTAGGAAAGAAGATCTGTGAACCATGGCATCTATGAATAGCTTGTAATCACAGTGTGGGGAAAACACATACCAAAGCTTAATGACAGTAAATACAAGGAATGCATAAATACAAGTGAGGTCAGGGGTCAAATGCAGCGGATCCATAAAGGTTGGTCCAATATAAAGTGGCTGCAAGTACATGTCTCATGGGTCTTGTAAAGGAAAAAAGAGTTTGAGATGGGTCTTAAAGGGGGTGGATTGAAAATCAGGCTTGAGAATTATTGGTGGCAAACCATTATGGTGCAAATGACCACCATGTGTATATGGAAGTATGCATAAAATGTAACTGACTGGGGCAAAAGGCTGATCTTCAGATATAGGACTGGAAAATTTACACTGAGGCTAGATCCCAAATGGACAGGAATGTCATTAAGAACATTTAAGATAAAGATCTTTGGGATGTTTCTTAACAGAGGATGGTGCTAATTATGTTTTCAGGACTCTAACAGGGAAATGCCCAAAAGGAGAGATCAGCTAGGGAGCTTTGGCATAAGAACTGTCAAGACAACAGAAAGTTCTGTGCTCAACCTGTAACAGAGGGAACTGAAAGAAATTGCAGGTTATGGGAACTGGGAAATCAGGCTTCACAGGGGAGTGACAAGACATATAGAACCTATATTAGGCTTTGCCAGAGAAACAGAACAAGTAGGAGAATAGAAGGTATTGGCTCAGAAACACCCAGAATAATGTTTGATCAAAATCATGGTACCCTGTGATCCAGTCAAGTTGACACATAAAACAAATATCTGAAGGCCTCAAAACTTGGAAGGATCCTGCTGGGGGTTTAATACTCTGTAATCAACTATCTAAAATCTTTAATAATTTTATTTGTAAATCTGTGTTTTGCAGGTGAAATCTGATGGGACAATGAAGTATACTTTGGGAGCTTGGAGCCACTGCTCGCTGTTCACCCATGTCCCCTGAATAGTTTTTCTGCCTCCAGTTTTATAAGGATATCCTTGGCCCTGCCATACTTCCTTCTTCAGGTCTTAGTTTAGTGCCCTCTGCTATCCTTTGCCCGGTGGGGCCTAGTGCAGGTATTGGGAAGATTGCAGATGGATCTGCATGCCCAGTGCCCACTGGCAGGGCCAAGATGTGTCCAGAGGGTAACTCTGTAGGGTGAGCCCTTGTTTCTCCCAGATTCAGGAACAAAGCATGTTCTGGCACAGATCGAGGGTGAAATGTTATGAGTCTCCATCTATTCGGGCTCAGGGGAGGGGGCTTTCCTGATCCAAATTGGGGCCTGCAAAGGGATCCAGCAGCTGGTAGAGGAGGGGACCTGAGTCCTGGGTGCAGGGGGCTGAGTGACCCCATGATTAAAGGAGTATTGCATTAAGTCACAAACCAAAAACAGCCCAGATTGAGAAAGAAAGACCATGGAGATATTGCTTAGTTCTTTTTGCTAATTAACATAACAAAGATTAAAAATTATGTTCATTTATTAGTGTGATTAGCGCTTTTGTCATTTGCAATCTGCAAATTTCAGAACATTTCCTCTCCATTCTATGAACTAGGTATATGAATCTAGTAAGCTTGTCCCTGTAAGGAAGGTCCCCAAAGGCACTGCTTCTAGGATGTTCTCGCCTCTAGAGTATTGCATCAGTAACCAATTGGCCTCTTAGCGAATTGTGTTCATATCTCTTCAGGGTACTAGGAATTGAAATTTCAAAAATTTCAAAAAGTTTATTGAAGAGTTTGTATGAATGGTTTTATTCTGCTTTGTGTCCACTTGCTAATAAATATTTGCTTAAGACATGTACATGGAATCCAAGGCTTACTTGTTACTGGTAGCATGTTTGTAGAGATTAATCTTCAACCACCTTTGCTAGCAACTACCACAACTGTCACAAATTATTATAACATTACAATGAGCAAATTGACTTAGGAGCTTAAAACACTTTATAAATTCACATACCAGCCAACAATACACTTAGGTGTATCATGAGTCCAGAGCAAATAGAAACTTATGAGCTGAGTTTCAAAGAGAAGTTTGAGAATTTGTGAAGTTCTCTTTCAAATTATAAAGATAAATTCAAGGAAATAGATATATCATCTTGGCTTTGAAAAGATCTTTGCAGTCATTTTAAAATACTAACTCTAGAAAGAAGAAAAAGAGGAAATGCCAAAAATGATTCTTAATTTCCTGGAGATTTGATGTGTCTCTGTATAAAGGAGACACAGGGAGATTTATTTAAAAAAAAATACAAAGTCCAGAAACATGCAATATAAAATTACTTCAAAATGTTTTCCTATTAGATTCTTTTCTTTTGAATTCCTTTGCAGCTCTGTGCAGATATAGATCTGATGAAAACAATGTATCTTCTTGCCAGAAAAATGCAGGAAGAAAAATCAATCAAGGTGTTCAGTCCAACAAAAGAATTTACTCTGTCACCAATATCAAGCATTTTCTGAAACTCCATCATTCCCTTTAACAGATTTAGCTTCCTTAGAAGGCAGTTATGGTCCAAATAGCATGCTTCCTCTTTGATATGCCTACCATTTCAGAAGGCATGTAGACCTTCTGAAGCCGGTTCATGCATAGCAGATTACAATCACATGCATTACCCTTTCAGTTACCAGAAGGCTACTAAGCAAATCATCCCCCTGCCAATACTAAAATACTGAAAAGCTTCTTTAAGGTAAAAATAAATGGTGGAATTGGGAGAAAGACTGTTTCTTATATAACTCCATTTAAATATTTCTCCATAACATACAACACAAAGGATATAATTGTGTTCAAAGTATCATATAAGGTTAGTACTTTGTGAGATCTTTTATAAAGGCCATACTATGAAGGCTAAGTGGTTGGTTATTAACACACATTTGACTGACCGTACTAAAAAAAATAGTACTAAGCATCTCTGATATATTTAGTTTTAATTTCTTAAGGTAGATGAGCTTTCAGACTTTTGAAGGTCATCCCTTACACACTTTGTACTTTTTGCAGTCACTTTTCACTGTAAAATTAAATATGCTAGAGTGTGTTCCCTGAAAGGGAGAGAAATGTCACACAGTGCCCCTAGGAATGGATGGCATTTCTTCTGCCCCCACTTAAATGCAACCACTTTTGACTATAATTCTCAGCATGCTATGAACTGGACTTCCTGAATGAGGGGCAGCTGGGAAGGCGGAATGCACAAAGAAGGTATATATTGGAGGTGGAATAAAGGAGGGAAGACAAGCACATGTAGGAGAGACACTTGTGGGTAGGTTGCTCGTGGTCATTGGCAGAAACAATGATAGTTGCTATATTTGTTTTTTAAGATTTATTTTATTTATTTATGTATACAAGAACTGGGGTGTAGGCCAGAGTTGTGGGGATTCACCAGAGACAGAGTAGGGTGGATCTACTGAAATACACTGCTGAGGGGAGCAGCGGGTGAGCAGCGGGTGAGATAAGAGAGGTCTTCTGTGCCATGTGGGTTAGATCCCTGGCCAGGCATCAAACTCATGCCTCAGTAGCTGGTGACAGCTTGATCGCTGAGACTTTGACCCCTGCGCCACCAGGAAGGCCTGGTAGCTGTTATCTTGACCTCATGGCAGATTTTGAATTCCAGGTCTCTCCTGTCCCAGGAATCTGGGATATGTCTAAACTCTTTCTTCCCTATTAGAAGAAGGTTAGACTTCTGTGGCAAGCTTTCAGGTCTCAGCTCTCCTGCTTTGGGCTGACCATGTTTGGCTAGGCATTTGCTGATAAAGAAATGGGTAATTTTTGGTGTGTCATCAGGATCCTTATTAAAATTCTTCACTTCTCTCTCTTTTTATGTGCACCAATCAAAGATATTTCATACTAAAAGTATGCTTTTTTTTTTTTGTCTTTGTACATGCAGGTAGCTGAGGAAGAATGGATGATTCATGCAGAGAGATTTTCTGAACACTCAAGGAAAGTATATATGTTATTGACTAAAGTGTGTCTGAAGGATAGAGTAATCAGATGTTGGACTTCAGAGTTAGCCATAATGAGAATTTTTAAAAAGTTGATAGAGTAAATGAATTCTGTGTATCTTTCTAGCCACCATGGATCAAAACTAAGAGTGATCACACAATATCAGAAAATAATTGATTTTGGAAACAAGCAGAATGTCCAGCTAGTGCTGTGATTCCACAGTGTGTATGTACTTAAAAGGAAAGATGAAATTAAGTTCAAAGCATATAATCAATCAGAAGGTCAATTCTAATAATGTCTATGCAATTTATTATAAATGCTAAAGGCCATGATCTCTACAGCTTTGTTTTCACCTTTCATGGAGGGAATTTTTAAAAGGAAGAGGAGAGGGTAAAACATCTACATTTTCTTTGTAATTATGTCTTCCATTTAATATTAAAACATTTCAACAGATATGTTTAACTCCCGATCTTATAATTCACATAAGTGAGCAGGATTCAGTTTTTGTCAATAGGACTTAGAAAGTAGCCATATTTGGCTTATTCTCTTATATAATCTTTACACAACTATCTAAGCATGCACGGTCAAGATCTTGAATAAGGTAGAGATATATTAATATCTTAAAAATATTTCTTTTGTTTGAACAATTTTTGCTTCAGTTATGCATAGAAAAGGTAATTATTTAGAAGTTCAATGTGAATGAATGTCAGTGAACTTAAAATGTAATTGATTTACATAGGGTTATAGATTGTTCTTTCCAATTTACATACTAGATTTATCATTATATTTATATAATGTTGGAATTGTTCCTGAAAGCATTTACTTAGGGAAGTACTTGACATTTACTTAAGGAAGTAAAACAAATTTTACCTCTGTTTCCTTGCCCCGATTTTATATTCACTCCTCACAACTCAGGCCAACTCAAAGGAACCCAGAGTGCAAGTGTCAACCAGGGAGTGGCCTCAGGGAGTTGACTGGACTAGCCCAGGGCACTAACATATCCTCGCACTTGGAGCCTCTCTAAATAAAGTGTGGAACCCACACCAGTGAAATGTGTTTCTGCTTTCACACCCATGTTGATATAGACGAAATCAGGTAAGGAAAGCATGAACACTAAAGCCATCCTTTCATCTTGAAAAGAAAAACGAAGAAAGAAGAGTTTATAGATTGGATAGGTAGGTGCAGCTTGGAGTCTGGGGAAGGAACAGTCATGTATTTTCCACTTGTTTTGATGGGATGCTAAAGGATGAATTTACACATTGCATGTTTATATATGAGCCTGAGAGTATTTTTTATATATGCCAACTGCAGCAGTGGGGAAAGGCAACAGTGGACTCTACTGTGCTGTGCCCTTAGGCTGACTGTCAAAGTTGAAATGAAAAACAAACCAGCCAACAAAAAGCTCCACAAAACAATAACAAAGTTGATATTGTCAATAGTCTAAGAATTGCTTCTTTAAAAAAAAAAAAAAGTTTATTTATGCGTAAAGAACTGAGGTGTAGGCCAGTGGTGCAGGGGGTGAGAGGATTCACCAGAGACAGAGTGGGGATCAGAACAGGTGTGTATACTGAATTACACTGCTGAGAGCAGAGGGCAAGACAGGAGAGGTTTGCTGCACCGTGTGGGTCATCTCTCTGGCTGGGGATCAAACTCGTGCTGCAGTGGCTTCATAGTTCTGAGACTTAATCCCTTGTGCCACGAGGGAAGCCCCACCTAAACTAGTATTTAGGTGACTTGGCCCATGACCCTGGGTTTTTGTTTTGTCAGAAAAACTTGGGACATATCTGGCACAACCTGAGAGTTCAAATATAACAAACAAGAATAAATCTTCCTTTAAAATATTGTTGACACTAATTATCAAATTTTCAACACTTTCAGCTAGTTCTAGTTTTAGAAATTTACTCCCATTGTGGGTGCACACACACACACACACACACACATCATCTTCCTATATTATTCTTAGTTACACCAGTTTGGTATTTTTCATTTAGTATCAAATTTCAAAATTGTTCAAGGCAAAACGTGTCGAAATAGTCTACTTCCCATAATACTAAAAGGAATTAAATCAGTGTTTAGTGTGTATGACTATGCAAATTTGTTTGAAACTGAGCCAGATTTTATATTTCCCTTGCTTTCAATTTTTTCCTAGACAATAACTGTCTTATCTTTTATTTGCTTGATTTTCTATGTATTTAAATTAATTTGCTCTCAAACTTTCCTAGAAAAGTATGAACCTCAGCTCCATATTGTATAACATATTAGATAATGTCTCAGTTCCAATGTTTTTATTGGAATCCTTACTCTTCCATCCCTCTATCCATCTGCTCTAGTCTTCTGTGGTTTTATGTGGGACTTTACCACCTTCCAGAAGATTCTGATGAAGTTTTAAAAAATAACATTTTCCTGCTTCTACACAGTCTCTTCCTTGTCTATATTAGTTTGGACCTCTCCCTTTCTAGTAGGGACCTTCATCAGCTACCCTTGACCATGGAAGCTTATCATTAAGAGTGGGTCCCTAAAAACTGACAGAAGCCAGAGGTACAGCTGTAGTGTCCCAGGCTAAGGACTTCTGTTCTAGGTTGATTTCTAGGCTGTGATATCAGCCACAAAAAATATTTACTTTCCCTAATCTATGTATAATCCATGGTCACTCTTTTCAAACTCCCGTTCAGGGTTTACACAACAAAATCAGCCACTTTCCTATCTCCCTCATCTTGTTCTTTCTTCTCCCCCGCTTACTCTATTCAAGGTAATAGGGTTTCTTTATTCCTTTATACTTTATATTCCTCCACCAGCCAGGCTGGCTCCTGCCTCTTGGACTTTATACTTGCTGTTTTCTTTCCCCAGATCCTGTGTGTTTTATCTCATAATCTAGTTCTCATAATCTAGTATGGAAGCTTTACCTGACCTCCCCACCTCAAACTCAGCACCCCCTTACCTGACTAGATTTTTTTCATAGTATTAATAGTGGACATAGTATTTCATTCCTAATTTATTGTTTATCTCTGCCATGAATATTTATGTTCCTGTCTTGTTCAATCACTCTTTCCTTAGGACACAGAATAATGTCTACCAGCCAGTAGCACTCATTAAATATTTGCTTAAAGAGTAAAGGGAGACCGGCCTCCTCTGGTGACGCAGGCAGTTGAGCGCAGCTCTGTGAAGCTGTCCGCAGCCTCTGCAGCGCCAGTTGGATCCCAGCTGGCCAGCGAGGGTCCCACATGATGTGGCAGACCTCTCCTGTCTTGCCTGCTGCTCCCCTCAGCAGTGTATTTCGTCAGTCTGCCTGTTCTGTTCCCTGCTCTGTCTCTAGTGAATCCCCTCACCCTCCTGCACATCTGGCCTGTACCCAGGTTCTTATATAAATAAAAAAATCTTTAAAAAAAATACTCAACCCTTTAAAAAAAAAAAAAGAGTAAAGAGAGAACTATCGTGACTAACATAACATCTTCCCTGGAGAACAAGCATATCAACAAAGAAAGTGCAATTGGAGATGACAACACAATCACTTTTCAAAGGCCTATTTCAAGTTAAATTCACTTTAAAGTATTCTTTGCAAATTGACTTTAAAGTACTCTTCTCCCATGAGAAGTCATCTTCATCACCATGTGAAGGACATTTTTCTTGCAATAGACATATTGTGCAGTTCCTAATTTAGTTCAGTAGAAAAAAATATGTAGCACCTTCAATGTACTAGTCATTATATTTTCAGCTCAGTTTAGCAAGATTAAACAACACCCATTTAAGCATGTGAATAAGTAACTAGTCCCATGATAAATGAGGATTTAAGTCACCTTGATATTAAAAAGCATATTGTTAGAATATCAATAGCAGCATTACCATATTAATCAGCATTTTCCAGAGACACAGAACCACTGGGATGGGTGTATGAGAGAGAGAAAGTAAGAGAGAGAGAGAGAGATATTAAAGAATTGGAAATTGACTCATGGAATAATAGAGGATGGAAGATAAACATCTGTAGGTGGGTAGGCAGGTTAGAAACCCAGGGAAGAGTTAATGTTTAGTTTGAGTTGAGAGTTGTCAGTTGGCAGAATTTCCTCTTCTCTGGGGAAGTAAATTTCCTTTCTTTCCTCAGTCTTTTTTCTATTACGGCCTCAGCTGACTGGATGAGGTCCACTCCATTATGGAGGTGCTCAAAGTTTACAGATTTAAATACTGATCTCATTTTAAAAAGTCTTTCACAGAAACATCTAGAATAGAATTTGATCAACTCTCTGGGTACTGTGGGGAAGTTATAAGAACTTTGATTCTCATGTGTGCTATGAAATTGTCACTACTAATTAAACCTAATAGTTTGAGGTTAAAAAAACCTTAGCAAATGTTTAAGGACCTTCTATTTCTCCAGTTGTTTTTTTTTTTTTTTAAGATTTATTCATTTATTTATACAAGCACTGGGTACAGTCAGGAGCACGGGAAGGTGAGAGAATTCACCAGAGCCAGAGCGGGGAACAGAACAGGCAGACCTACGAAATACACTGCTGAGGGGAGCAGCGGGCATGGCAGGAGAGGTCTGTGCATCAGGTGGGACCCTCACCAGCGGCCGGGGAATTAAACCAGTGCTGCAGAGGCTGCGGGCAGCTTTGCAGCCCAGTGCTCAACCACTGTGCCACCAGGGGAGGCCCCATTTCTCCAGTTTTTAAACAATCCAAGGTAAACATTAAAAGGCTATGCCACTATAATATGAAAAACCTTATAAAAAAGGTTCTTTTGTCAGATAAAATTTGTCTATTGAGTCTAATCAATTTGAGCTACTTATTAGGATCACTTGAGAAGAAACAGTAAGAAAACTTGTAAAACTGTGGGTAGACCTATATTTTCTCCAACCTACACTCTTTTTATTTTTGTTGCATGGGAGCTGTTAACAATCAACAATCATTCTGCAAAAAAAAAAAAAAAAAACTACAGAATTTTATCTCTATCAAATTTTATCACCTTCTGTTGAAGTGAG